TTAGACGTTTGACTGTCGGCATGAAGTCTGGTCCACATTGCGGATTATTCCAACAAAGAACCGCCCATTTAGACATGAAAAAGCCAACTGACTGACATGTAAAGCAGCCAAACCTCAGTTGTAGAGGATGTTTAAGGGTGGGTAAATGTGAAATCAGATCACTTTAAAAGCTTAAATAAAGGTGTGCTAGTATCTCAAACAAAACTTTGAATCTTTCGAAATATTTGATGTCATAAAATTTGAGTTAAAAAAAACTGTTAAATATTATTTTCTAAAAATATTTACATTTTCAGTAACACTTTAGAATAAGGTTTCATTTGTTAACATTAATACTACATTCCATTACTTAAATTACTAAATTCCATTTGTTAACTAACTCCATTTCTATCATGACAACTCTCGGAGGCATTGGGATGGTAATGTACATGACAATGTTTATGCATTTGGTCTTGGTGGAATAGATCTGCTACGCTGCTGCTGCGGCAGAGCAAGTACCGAGACTTGCTACTGCCAATACATCCACAACATGCTGTTGTGAGCATGCAAGAAATATTGCTGCTGCAAATATAACATACATAAAATAACACCCAAATAGCATACATGAATCACCTCGTAGCAGATCTATACAGGTGGAGGGTTTTTGAAGCAAGCTGCAACTGCTACGGCAAGCACTAGTCATATATTTGAATGTTGAGCAGCGAGCTCATTGGCTACTGATACAGGAGAGAACCAATCAGCTGTGCCATGTGATAATGATGTCATTAGGTCAGATTGAGTTAGACCTATCGGACTGCGCCATCTAGAGTTTCATGCCAGAACTCTGTATTAGTTAACATAAACTAACAATGAAACATTCTTGTAAAGCATTTATTAATCTCAGTTCATAGTAATTAAAAGTACAACAGCTGTACTTTTATTAAAGTTAAGAAAGATTAATAGATTAATAAATACTGTAACAAATGTAAAAAATAAATAAATAAATGTGACGTGACATGTGGCCAAGTATGGTTACCCATACTCGGAATTAGTGCTCGGCATTTATCCCATCCAAAGTGCACACACACAGCAGTGAACACACACACACCCGGAGCAGTGGGCAGCCATTTTTGCTGTGGCGCCCGGGGAGCAGTTGGGGGTTCGGTGCCTTGCTCAAGGGCACCTCAGTCGTGGTATTGAAGGTGGGAGAGAGTGCTGTACATTCACTCCCCCCACCTACAATCCCTGCCGGTACGAGACTCGAACCCGCATTGGGTTACGAGTCCGACTCTCTAACCATTAGGCCACGACTTCCCCAATAACATTGTATTGCTCAATGTAAGTTAATAGTTAATGCAGTATTTATCATCTATCTCTCTATCTATCTATCTATCTATCTATCTATCTATCTATCTATCTATCTATCTATCTATCTGTCTGTTTGTCTGTCTGTCTGTGTCTGTGTGTGTGTTCAAGAATCATCCAAAAAATGTGACATATATTTAAAATGTCATATATATATATAAACACTTTGCAGTGACATTGTGACACACACATATATATATCCAAAGCGACTTAAAAATGAGGACAATGGAAGCAATCAAAATGATATATAAAAAAGCAATGATATACAAGTGCTATAACAAGTCTCATTTAGCTTAACGCAGTACACGATGCCTTTCTTCCCGGAGGTGCATGAGGAGCTCAACAGGTCGTGGACGGCACCTTTTTACTGCCGGAAACTGATTTGCTGGATCCTCCTCCCTCACCACCCTCGATGGTGGGGCAGCTAGGGGGTTACAAGGGTCTCCCCGGTGGAGTTCAGCGAGAGCGCTACGCTTGAAGTGGAACCTGTTCGTTGAGTGGTGTCCCCCGAAGATGCCCGATCGGAGTTGTGCTGTTCTTTTTGTAGCAAGGGTTGGAGCGAAGGCTGTCTCCCTCCACCCTTAAAGTTTATGTCGCTGCTAACCACGACCCCGTAGAAGGAGGTGGTTGGGGAAGCATGACCTGGTTGTCAGGTTCCTTAAAGGGGTGAGAAGGTAAAATCCTCCACGGCCCCCCTCTATTCCCTCGTGGGACCTGACTCTGGTGCTAAGGGCACTACAGCAGGGCCCATCGGAGCCTTTTTGCAGGTGGATGGGCTGGAGTTCCTTTCAATGAAGACTTTGCTCCTGCTAGCATTGGCCTCCATCAAGAGGGTAGGGGACCTGCACGCATTTTCGGTCAACGATTTGTGCCTAGAGTTCGGGCCGGCTGATTCCCAGGTAACCCTGAGGCCCTGGCCCGGCTACGTGCCCAAGGTTCCCGCTACTCCCTTCAGGGATCAGGTGGGATCCAAGCGCTGCCCTCGGAGGAGGCAGACCCAGCCCTAGTTTTGCTCTGTCCCATCCGAGCCTTAAGGTGCTACATTGACCGGACACAAAAAGCTTCAGGACCTCAGACCAGCTCTTTGTCTGTCACGGAGGCCGGCAGAAGGGGAATGCCATCTCGAAGTAGAGGATGGCCCACTGGATAGTGGATGCCATCACCCTGGCTTATCAGGCACAGGGTGTGCCCTGCCCATTCAGGTTGCAAGCTTACTAGAGGTGTTGCATTCTCCTGGGCGCTGGCGGATATCTGTAGAGCTGCGGGCTGGGCGACCCCTAACACGTTCGCCAGATTTTATAGCCTTCGTGTGGAGCCGGTATCCTCCTGTGTTCTCACCTCAAACGGGTAGAAGCACTGAGTGTGATAGGATATTCTCTGTTCATGAATATAGCCATACATGTTTATAATTATAGTTTTTGGATTGTATAGGCCTACATACAAAGCATGCTTGTGTTTGTGAATGTAACTAAGCTTCTGTTCATGAAGATCTGTTCTGGTGTAAATATTTTGAATGTGTTATACCCGTGTCTTATGGAGTAATGACGCTGAAATGTTTTGAAACTGTTTTCATTTTGGTTTAGGACTGTGGCTGCATCACCGGCATCTTGCACAAGAAAGGCACACGCACGTCGTTCAGTTTTGAGTTTGCTGGAAAATCCTACTGAGTAAGTGCACAGTATAGTAATTGTATTATTCCCAGAATATGTGGTAATATTATTTGTGGTTGATAGTGTTAAATTGTTAGACTTGGCATTGTTTTCTCATGAAGTATGCATACTATACTAAGGTACTGTGGGGAGTACACCACTCTTGCCTTCACCTGCATCTCTCATAGGAAGGGGGCACTCGTTCAGTTTTCAACTCCATTCAGAATTTTAAGTGTGCATTCACTATTTTACAGATGTTACTTTCATTTGATTTAGTTACTTTGTGGTAAAATATGTTTGCTATGTGGTAATTGTGTTCTTTGTTTAGATAAATTAGTACTAGTATCCGTGAACATCATAATAATGTTAATAATGTAGTTTGTGTAAACAGCATGCTGGCTTTTTTATTTCAGATGTGAGAATAACAGTGCAAAAGAACCTGTTGCAAAGAGAGCCAAAGCAAATAAGCAGCCCACTTGGTCATGGAAACCAGAGACTGACGCTGACATGTTCCACAGGTTCTGAGATTCCTGCCTGCACAAGAGCCTGGACCACAGCTAAGCCCATGTGATGCACACACTCCCAAAATGATGTGATAGTTATATATATTCTAAATAAACTACAAACAAAAAAATAGATACATTTCTTTTTCCTCATTTTTTCTTGTAGCAATTCCCTCTCAGTCACACACCTGAGAGCTCATTATGCAGCTCATTATGCAGCTCATTATGCAGCTCATTATGCAGCTCATTATGCAGCTCATTATGCAGCTCATTATGCAGCTCATTATGCAGCTCATTATGCAGCTCATTATGCAGGCCTTTGTCTTCTCAGGTGTGAATCACTCATTATACATGACGATTCACGCCCCCTCGCATATTCCTTTTCTACACAAAAAGTGTCTTAGAAAATTTAAATCAATATATTGTTTTCTGTGAGTGAGTAAACAAGATGATTTTCACATCATTCTGATGAAAAAATTCTAGACTTCAAGATCTGTTCTCAATAGTCCTATGAACAAATGTTCTGTATGTGTTTTATGGCCTTATTTCAGTGACTTAAAAATTTTAGTTTTTCACTAAGCACGCATAAACGTTGTTTTCTCAAAAACACAATCACATACATACATGCTGCTCACATATTATTGTAGCCCAGTTTGTGCTGATTATGGTGCTACTAAACTTAGTCATTACAATGTTTATTAGCAACTGAAAAAAGCACAAATGTCAGGACATGTCAAAACTTCTCCAGGGCCCAAAACACCCTCAGACCCCAGAGGGTTAATGGGTTTTGTGGGTACTGTCTGTGACACTTAATCCTTCGTGACACAGAGATAGCCATAGCCGTCCTGCTTCCACACAATTACACAGATGTTAATCTGGGATAAGGCTTACGGAGGTAATGAAGCCTGATTCTGTCAGCAGGGTTTAGTGACATGAGATAAACAACAAGATTGTGAAGAAATACAGTATACAGTAACTATGCAATATATTGTGAGTCCAAACATGCTACCATGGCATATTTTTATGATTAGTGTTTTTTAAACTAATCACACACATTATAAATTTAAAAAAGCCTTCTAATCAAAACAGAATTAGATTTTTAATGTTTTAAAACTCCAATATACTTGACACAAGCTAAGGTGTGTGTGTGTGTGTGTGTGTGTGTGTATGAAGCATTACCCTGGCATTCATATAAAGTTGCTGCATTAGCTGTTTTATATCGATTGAGGAATCAAGCATGGAACATATTTAAACTAGATCATAAACGTTGTGGCGTGAGGGCCTATTAGCAACAGGAAAACTTTACCACACAGTAAAAATCAAGTAGGGGCTTCGGTACGTATAATTTACACATACGTCATCAAACAAGTAACAAATAACCTAAACAATCTAATGCAACCAGAATCTGCTGACTAAGCCAGAAATTTTAAAGGGTGAAGACTGAGTACTAAATGTTTTTCTCACCATTTATAGTTTATTTGAAGAGCAACGGCATCTTGTTACTCACCTATGCAGGCATGGACTCTGACAGACAGCTGTGTTCTCAGGATAATACTGTGCTTTTTTCCTCTCCTAAAGAAAAAAAAAACACAAAACAAGAGATCATCCTGCTGAAAATCTAATAAATGTTAAAAAATTTACAGAGCTACAGTATGTTTGACGATATGATATGATATGGACCGTATATCCATATACTCTTTCCGAATATATGAATTTAGAGCGCTTTTTAACTGTCAAACTGTTTTCTCAGTGCATTGATTAAAAATCCTGCTAATTCATATTCAAAGAAACAAATAAATCATGATTCATTACATTACATTAAAATATTTAAGATATACAGTGGGGAAAAAAAATATTTTGTCAGCCACCAATTGTGCAAGTTCTCCCACTTAAAAAGATGAGAGAGGCCTGTAATTTTCATCATAGATATACCTCAACTATGAGAGACAAAATGAGAAAAAAAAATCCAGAAAATCACATTGTAGGATTTTTAAAGAATTTATTTGCAAATTATGGTGGAAAATAAGTATTTGGTCAATAACAAAATTTCATCTCAATACTTTGTTATATACCCTTTGTTGGCAATGACAGAGGTCAAACGTTTTCTGTAAGTCTTCACAAGGTTGTCACACACTGTTGCTGGTATTTTGGCCCATTTAAATCAAAACAAAGCAAAAACAAGAATGAAACAAAAGGCAAAACAAAACAAAAGCAACACAGTAAAAATGCGAAACAAAAAGTGAAACAAAACAAACAAAAACTAAACTAAACAACAAAAGCAATACAAAGTAAAAGCAAAAACAAAAATTGAACAAAAAACAAAAAGTAAAATTATACAAAAACAAAAAACAAACAAAGCAAAACCAAACAAAGCAAAACAAAAACACTCGGTTTAGCAACTAATTGAAAACCAGTAAATCGTAAAATCAAAACAAAGCAAAAACAAGAATGAAACAAAAGGCAAAACAAAACAAAAGCAACACGGTAAAAATGCGAAACAAAAAGTGAAACAAAACAAACAAAAACTAAACTAAACAACAAAAGCAATACAAAGTAAAAGCAAAAACAAAAATTGAACAAAAAACAAAAAGTAAAATTATACAAAAACAAAAAAACAAACAAAGCAAAACCAAACAAAGCAAAACAAAAACACTCGGTTTAGCAACTAATTGAAAACCAGTAAATTTTTCGTGTTTTTTTGACAGCTGTACCTTTTATGGTTATTAGTAGAATATTAAAACATTACATATCTAAAATTGCTCTTTAAAGCACTAAATTAAAAAGTTAAAATGAAATAAATTATAGAAAACAGAGTAGATTTTAACTAGTAAGAGGAATACACATTAACACATTTGAACTAGTTATTAGAGCTGTATTAGCTAGCTTACATTTGATTTACAGTTACTGCTATCATTCAAACGTACACTTATATGTAGGTTTAAAATTCTACATGTGTCACATTTAATGTCCAATAACAAATATTTTAACAGAATGTATATTTTACTCAGAAGTATTGGGCTATTTTTCTATTGCACTCAGTCTGTTTAGCGTGCATGCGTGCAGCAGCGCTTGTTCACTCGCATAAGCCTCGACCACTCCTGACAAAAAAAGGATATATTTGCATGACTTTCTAACATTTACAAATGGAGAATATACCTGTGACTTGTCAGTCATGCACTTTGGAAAACACAATGTCTCAAATGCATTAAACAGCACAAATACAGTATATTTGCTGTTTGCAATGGTGGATCGATATGATCCATGATTGACATTAAGGGCTGCTTAAGAATAAGCGTGCAGTAAGAATTACCAGGTTTTGGACTTTAATCCCCGCTTTTCTAAGCGTCCTTTATGAAACAGCCCCCAGAACTATATTTTACATTTGAACCTATTTTGTAATGTAATGCAATACCGTAATATAGAGTGATAAAAGTTTTTTAAAAAATAAAAAAAATTCTAATACGTCATCTACATTTTCTTCATGTCATTTTGAAGTGTGCATTTTCTAAATATAAAATACGGGCCCATGGCTATAGGCCAGAGACACATAAAAATCAACAGACACAGACAGCATCTGTCTGCACAACTTTAACTAAAGCAACTTGACAACACTTGCAACTTAATCTTTCTGCCATTGAAGCTAATGAGTAACTGGATCTATTTCATAATGAACTTGCCAGTAACATTAGCCTGGCTACTAACCATAACCGTACTCTACAGCACCCTACATGCTCATTATCAAATTAAATGGTGAGTCTAAGAATACGCATGAGATACCCAGAGGAATCCAATTTTTGTATTTCTGGAGCAAAACGGAGAAACGCGCAGGAGAACTGGATTCTGAGGGTGAAGCTGTATGTCTTGGCTTTTCGTCTTGGCTTGATACTGTGAGAATTTCTGCATGTGGGTGCATGCCAAGCGACTACATGGCTGTGGACGGTCTAGCACATGCGGTACAGCTGACATAGCGTGTATCATCCTGCACTGGTGTCCACGCCATTTCCCAGAGCACAGCTCCACTGGAGAGAAGATCTGCAGCCGGATGACTCAGTCTTTTTCCACAGCTCATGGCCCAATGATTTGAGTTACCCAGACAAACGTGCCCAGCTTTGTGAAACAGAATAGCCCCTGCAACCTGAGATCTGTTTGGGGCCAAAAGGAGAAAGTGTCTCCAACATCGGCCACGTAACACCAGCAAAAGACACAGACAGCCTCATTAAGCTTATCCAAGACAAATTATCCTGACATTAGAATTTCACAAGCATGAAGAGACCTTTCGCAGCAGCTATGTTGCATAAGAAGACAAATAAAACACTGTTGCACTGACAGTAGATGTAAATGGGTAGTCCAAAAACCAGTCGATAAGCAAGAAATTTCTTGACTTGGCATTAATAATCTAGCATTAACAATCTGCAATAGAGTTCTAGCTAAATTAAATTCAACTGGCAACTGGAAAACTTTAGCCAAAATAACTTACAGTGCATTCAAGAAAAGCATGTTATCAGCATGTTTATCAGTTCACTGCCTGGGATTCAAACCCACAACCTATCCATTTAGCAAATGTACCCACTCAAAATTTTACATTTTGTTGCAATACAAATTATTCTTCCATATTTATATATCTAGTGGCAAGCTGTAACTTCATGCCTACTATTAAAGATACAACAATATTGAGTAATGCAAAGATTTCATATTAGGTAGAAGGTAATACTATGGTTAAAGGACTCATATTTTAGTCGAAAGCTATGGCTTAAAGTTAAAAAGTCTTAATGGTTTTTAATTGTAATGGTTTCCTACAAACACACAGTTTTTCACTTCACAAGACATTATTTGGTCATATGGATTACTTTTGGATTATTGTGATGTTTTTATCAGCTGTTTGAACTCATTCTGACGACACCCATTCACTGCAGAGGATCCACTGGTGAGCAAGGGATGTAATGCTAAATTTCTCCAAATCTCTTCTGATGAAAAAACTATTTCTTCTACATCTTGGATGGCAAGAGGGTGAGAAAATTTTCAGCAATTTTTCATTTCTTGGTGAACTATACCTTTAAAATAAAGAAAATCAAAGTTTTGGTGCCAAGGTTTCAATCTGAGGTAAAGTTCACTGCACTTTTTGACCAATTTGAAATGTTGAAAATCATGTTATAGAAAAATCAACACATTTAAAAACTGTATTTAGGCTACAAGATGCATCAATTAAGACAAAGTACCACTCAATTTTTCCAATTACCAAGATTATAGATCATAGGGTTCCTCCACCTCCCAAGTGCAAAATTTACTTTTGCTTCAATCCCTCACAGCCTTTTTATGTATATTCGTGACCAATTAAATACTGTATAGTGTCTATCCTGATTAAAGTCTCTGGCAGAGAGAGTGAGCGAGGGATACTGTATTCAGGACTCTACTCTGGCAAATGAATGAAAAAACCTAACATCTGCAGGTTAATCATCACAACCCCTGAACAGGCCATCATAACAAATGCTTGTCTGTGGGGAAAGTCAAAGTTTAAAGCAGACTCAGACCTCTGAGATGAGCTAGCACATCGCTCTGCTCTTTATTTACTCCCAAACGCCGTATAAACCCTGATCCTGGCCCCATGCAGTCTCTCCTGGGTCTGTGGAGTCATGCCAGGTGCACTCTAACCAACTTTGGCTCTTCACTACCCGCCTGTTTATGGAATATCACACTATGAAGTCCAATAAATACACAAAAGGAGGGATAAATAGAGAGGGAGAAAATTACAGAGAGAAGACCCATTGCCGACAGGTAACGTTTACCTCCTGCATACTTGGACCTAGTTCAAAAACAACCATTTGCCTATAGTGTAATTAACAGCAGACTATACAAGTCCTCCTGGAACAGATATGACTCAGCAAATAAGCTAGAAATTTAATTTCTGAGCACCTGGTGCATTTATGGACCAGCACTTCTCAAGAAAAAAAAGGAATAGTTTACAAAAAATACAGAATTTGACATCATTTATTTACTCTTACTCTTCTTTTTCTTTTCTATGGAAAACAAAATGTAACATTCTGAAGACATTTGTCCATGCACTTTTCCATGCAATTACAATTAATGACTGAAGCTTTGAGCTTCAAAAAGGACACAACAGCAGCATGGAAGTATCATACGGTCCATACAAAGGTTTAAAACATCACAGAAAACCAAAGGTTTAAGACATAAAAACATATGTACATTAATGAAAAAATGTAAAGTATAGTGATAACAAAGATGGTCTGAATGATTTACTTACAAATCTCACTCATCTGGTTTGTTTTGGGCATGCAATATTGGCTCAACTGGCCCAAGTTGGAAAGGAAACCTGTTTGAAAACAATTAATTCTGCAGTACCATTTTGTGCCACTGGTGGTGCTGAAATTCCACAGAGCCTTTTTATATATTATTCACATAAACTAGATTTAGCTTGAAGCACCGTACATTTGCAAAAAGCTGCAGAAGTACTATCACCTGTCAATCTATTCATAAGACTCTCTAAAAACAGAGATCATAGTAACACATACACGGCACTTCAGTGTTTCCACACTTTCGACGACCAGCTCCTCTGC